CCTGCATGGGGGTGCGATCAGGCCACCCTATGCTCCCTCCTGTCCCACTAGGGGCTGCCCCTTGTCCACTCTCCCCTATGTCCTGCCCAGTCCCCTTTGCAGCCCCTCCTGCTGGCTCCTGCCCTGTTGTTTTTTTTGTGTGCCACCTAGGCCCTGTTAGTGGACTCCCCCAATCTACCTTCACACACTCCCTTACCCTCCCGGGTCACTCTGTTTCTGCTGTCCTTGTTCCTTCTTCCCCTGTTCTAGCCTGAGGTCTCAGGGGTCCAGTCTTGCTACTGCTTGCCTCTCTGGAAGGCTGCCTCTGCAGTGACTGCCGCTGAGCTTGTGGTAGAGAGTGCGTGTGGCTTCTCTTCATCAGAGAGAGACAGAGAGAGGAGAGAGAGATGGTGGGGGAGGGAGGGAGAGATGGGGAGGGAGAGAGAGAGAGAGAGAGATGGGGAAGGAGGGAGGGAGGGAGAGATGGGGAGGGAGAGAGAGATGGAGTGGGAGGGAGGGAGAGAGAGAGAGAGAGAGAGGAGATGGAGAGGGAGATAACAGACAGATGGACAGACAAGGGGGGGAGAGAGAGATAGAGATATACCCATAGATAGAAGGTGAGAGACAGAGAGACAGAAGCAGAGAATTAGAGGGAGAGGGAGAGACAGATAGCAGAAAGAGTGGGAGGGAGAAAGAGAAGAGAGACAGACAGAGAGACACATACAGAGAGAGGTGGGAGATGGGGGGAGGGGGAGAAAGAGGGACAAACACACACACACACACACACACACACACACATACAGGGAGAGGTGGAGAAATGGAGAGAGAGGTGGGCAGGGAGGGAGCCAGCCAGCCAGCAAAGAGAGTGGGAGGGAGACAGACACAGACGGGAGAGGGGGAGAGAGTTTTGGGGTTTAGACAGTACTTTGCTTCAGGTCCCTGAGGTAGAGAAAAGGTCCCTCAGACTTGGCTAACTGCTGCTCTACAGGTAAGTAGAGTCAGCTCTCAAGCCTTTCTCTAGCATCTGAAGATTGCAGTACGTTCTCTCCTGGCGCCCCTGTGTGAGAAATGTAATTATTATCCTCTAGATGAGAGAGGGTAATTCACTTGCCCCAGCTCCTTGAAGCTGGATTTGAATCCAGGACTTCCAGACTCCAAGCTCAGTGCTGTCTAGCTGCTTCCGTTGCCTGGGTTTCCCCCTATACCTTCCCTTCCTCCTGTCAAAGAGCCATTCATTATAACAAAGAACTTTAAAAGTCAGCATGGTGGAAACAATCCAATATTCTCTATTGTTTCCTAGCCCTGTGAGCCTCCACCGAGGCACTCTTTTCTGAGCGCTGTTTCCTGGAGCGCGTCTGCAGGGAGAACATGAAATTACCCCATCCGGAAGTGTCGTTGTAGGAGGTGTGACTCCTCTCTGTAGACCAGAGGCTGGATTTTGTGTCTGTAAAGTCAGGCAGAAACCCTGTGGGGCGTTTTCACAGACTCTCAGGATCCTCGGGGGTCCCCTTGTCTAACTCCCTCGTTCTGTAGATGGGGAAACTGAAGCCCGGGGAGGGGCAGGGACTGCTAAGGGCCCACCGAGCTGGGAATCCAGCCCCGGTCCCCCAGCTCGCACCAGTGTTCTTTCCTCCTCATGCCCCGTACCGCCCGCTTATCACCAACCTGGGGAGGTGACTTAGTGGAAACCATATGGTTCCTCTTTTCCCTCTTACTCTGAGCGCACACTTGAGCTTTGGCTCCCAGAGGGATCCCAGTGTGCCTTGATGTTCCACTCCGCGTGACTGAGGTGGCCGGGGCCACCTTCAGAGAAGGGGGGGGAGGAGGGTCCTCGCAGAGCCCGCAGGCCTCCTTGTGGCTGGTTCCCACTCCTCCTTCCTGATCTTTCACTGGTAGCATCAGAGCTCTTGTAAATTATTTTACAAATTATCTCTGAATTAGGTAGAGGCTCACCCAGGAGAAGAGATATCCCCGGCGCAGGGCGGGGGGAGGGGAGAACTGAGAAGGTGCCCTGTGGTCATCCCAGCACCCCAGCTCTAGAGGCCATCCCAACCAACCCCATCATTTTACAGATGAGGAAACTGAGGCCCAGGGAGGTTGTGGGATGTGCCAGGTTCACCTAGGGAGTATGACCAAATGAGATAGTATCTTTAAAGGGCTTAGCTCAGTGCCTGACATGTAGGAGGCGCTTTATAAATGCCTTTTCCCTTTCCTCCCCCACTGAAAAGCTGGAGTGTGTCTAGAGGAATGCACTCAGGTTTGTAAAGCACCTTGAGATCACCCCCTCTGAGTCTGGACTGAAGGGACTGAGGATGCTTTTCCTGGAGAAGAGAAGGCTCGGGTTCATGGGAAAGGTCCCTGGCAACTCCAGGGCTGTCAGGGGACGAAGCTAGAACTGGCTGGGGGGTGGCTGTTGCACCAGCAGCTGAGGCTGAAGCTAAGAGGGCCAGTGAGTGTTGGCGAATGCCAGGAGCTGCCTAGGAGGCAGTGGGCTCCCACCGGGGCCCTCTTGATGGTCACGTCTTGGAGGGGATTCTTGGGCAGGTACTTGGTGGACCCTGGGAGCCTCCAAGAGGTTCCCATTCTCCTTCGTGGTGGGAAGGGGCCTTAGAGGGAAAGCCCTGTGCCTCCTGGTAGTGCCTTGGACAGTAGGTTGGCTGCCTGTCCCCAGGAGTCTGCTCAGAAAGGGACCCTCGGGCTGATTCCTGGCTCTAGGAATCAGAATAGAATCAGAATCTAGGAATACCCTGTGGGGTGTGTGGGTGCTGTGAGGAGTCCTCTAATGTGGCGGTAACAGGATGGGGAAAACCACTTCCAGTCTGTTCCGTGATGTCCGTCCGTCCGTCCTCAGGCCCCCGGGATTTCCATGCTGGCTTCTCGGTAGAAAAGATCATAAGATCCCAGATCCTGCACTGGAGGGTTGGTCTGAGGTATCAGAAACAGGGGCGGGAGTGACTGAACTGCATTAAAATGTCATTGGGAAAGAGTCAGCCAAATAAATAGAAGTGCGTTACAACAAAGATAATACCAATGTGTGGTTTTTTTAGCCGATAGATGGTCGAGGTTGACCCCCGATCTAGTCCCTCATTCTACACATGAGGACACTGAGGCCCAGAGAGGGGCAGTCACTTGCCTAAGGTCCCACGACTGGTAAGTGGTAGAAGCCTGGCTTGAACCCTGAATCCTCTGTGCCCTGAGAGTGATGGCGGGCGAGACCGGCCCCATCCGGCTCTGGCAGAACGTTTGAGAGGAGTGAGCTGTAATCCACTGCATGGGACGATTGATTTGGATGCACTGAGAGCCTTGTCCAGAGTCACTGAGGTGGTCAATGGCTGACCTGGCTTTGGAGCCCATTGTCCTCCACAAGCATTTGTCTGCTGGCCCTGTCCAGGGTGCTGGAGATTCCTGCCTCCCCCCAGGAACTCGCCTCCTAGGGAAACAGCAGGTGTTGGGAGAAGTGAGTACAGATGTGCATGTGTCAGCAGTGGGTGATCTGGGGCGTGGAGTGGGGCGCCGCAGCCTGCTTCCTCCAGCTCCGCTGGCCAGGTGGCGCCTGAAAGCTGAGCCCAGGCGAGCCCTCTGCATTCGCATGCAGCCCCATTCTGCTGGACCGCAACTGTCAATCTCTAACTTAAATCCAGGGAAATTTGGAATTGTTCACACTTTTTCCAAACAAAATTTTCCCTTTAAAAACAATGTAAAAAGTCTTCTAGACAGCAGAGTGTCCAGGGGCGTGAGAAGATGTGAAATAATACCTTTCATTTGGAGGACAGAGAAGCTGGTGAGGGAGGGAAGAGCCAACGCTTGAGAAGGTTTAGAAATGGAAGGGGCCATAACGGACTCGTTTGTTGGTGAGAGAGAGAGGCCCAAGATGGGGACTGTGGGGACTATGGATCTCGAGTCAGAGGGCCTGGTCTCAAACCAAGGTGATCCTGGGGAAATCATTGCCTCAGTTTCCTCCTCTGTACAATGAGAAGCTTAGCAGGTCTCTGAAGGCCCCTCCAGCCCTAATCGAGGATCTTGTGATCTTTAGCATGTCGGGGTTCTAGACAGCTGCTGACCTAGCACACATCTGGTAGCTGGACATGGGGGGCTGATGTAAGAAGGTGACAGCTCTCAAGATGGGGGTGGAATGTGCTCCGTTCAGGATACCAGGAATTAGTTTTAATCATAGTTGTGCTAATGACAATTGATAATAATGATGATGGTAACACTAAGTGCATTTTACATGGATGATCTCATTTGATCCTTACAAATGTTCTGGGAGTTATTATTATCCCCATTTTACAGTTGAGGAAACTGAAGGCAGACAGAGGTGAAGTGCCTTGCCCAGCATTACGCAGCTAGTGAGTGTCTGAGGCTGGATTAGAACTCGGGTCTTCCTGAGCTCTATCCACTGTGCTGCCTAGCTGCTTGCCTCTAGGTTTAAAAAAGACATTGATGGGTGCAGCGAGGTGGTGCAGTGGATAGAGCACCTGACTTGGAGTCAGGAAGACCTGAGTTCAAATCCGGCCTCAGACACTTGACATTAGCTATGTGACCCTAGGCAAGTCACCCAAAAAATAAAACAAAATAAAAAAGACATTGATAAGCCAGAGCATGTCCAGGGGAGGCATCCCAGAGAGTGAAGCACATCAAGCTCGTGTCACATGGGGTTCCCTCAAAGGACCCAGGAATAATCAGCCTAGAGGTGTCACCCCCTTCTCACTAACCACCAGTGGCTCCCAGGAGCAAATCCCAAGTGCTCTGTTTGGCCTTCCCTCCTTTCTGGGCTCCTTACCCCTGAGGTCCCCCCACGCACATTCTCCAATCCACTGACTGTCCGTCTCTGGGCTCCAAGCGTTCCCTCTGGCCGGCCTCCCTCAGGGGTCTCTCTCCTTTGGGTCCTCATGTCCCCAGCCTGTGGCATGTTGGAGGTGCTTAATAAATAGTTGTTTGTGGAACGAATGAGCTGAAATGGAGTTAGGAGATTAGAACTCTTCTGAATCTGAGAAGTTGTGTTTTTTTCCTTCTGACCACAGGTCCCGATTCTGAAAGCCTGCTGAGATCCGTGGCTGCTTCTTCGGCTGCTTCTGGTTGCTCAGCCATGCCTGCGTGACTCAGACATAGCCTAGCCCCTCTCCCGCCTGTCTGTGCGTGTGTGATGGTGGGACGTTGGCTCTCTTTGGAGCTGCTGCCGCCGTGGGCTCTGTGATCTGTTTTGAATTATCTACCGGACTTGCCCCCGCTCGCAATGAGCTCCCAAACCCATCCAGGTAAGCGCCCTCTAAGAAGAGGCCCTGGCAGTGGCCCGGGTGCCCAGGTGTCAGGCTGGGACTGACCTTCCCTTTTCAAAATTTAAAGCTTTGTGGAAGCAGTGTTTGTCCATATTTGGGCCTTTGTGCTAATCGCAGTGTGGGTGGGCTATGATTGATGGAGGAATGGGGAGTGCTTGCTTAGTGGTGAATCTCCCGCCAACTTGCACTGTGTGGCCCGTCTCTGGTCCCGGGCAAAGAAAGAGGGGAAATGGTGGTCTTGCCCTAGAGGAAATCAGCTCGGTGCTGGCTACCTCGGACAGTTAATTTCATGGCAGTTTCCTGGCCTTACGATGATCAGCTCATGATTGATTCGGGCCCCCTTGCATCAGCATTATGTGGTCCTGGAGTTGGAATGTGGTCTGTGTGTTGTAGGGCAGTCCCCCTCCCCACCTCCTCAGCCCAGCGTGGCTCATACCCCTGCTGGTTTCTCTGGCGGATGTTTCAGGAAGAATGGTGGTGACCGGACGCTTGGTGGCCTCCCGTCATTGGATGGGAATGGCCAAGGTCATCCTGGAGTGAGTTGTGAGACCCATTTTATTCGTGGTGTGATTGCGGTGGAATGCATTGAGAAGAATGGAAGACTCACAAATGCCTTTTTGTGAGAGAGAATTGGAGGGGAGGCAGAAGGGACCATTTTCATGCAGATTTCTCCCACTGAGCTATGTTCTCATGTCTGGTCAGTGTGGTTTGAGAGGCCAAAATCCCGTGAGGTGAGAGAACCCATGTTCTGTACGGAGATGTACGGAGATCTTCCCTTCTCCACTGGATTTGATCAGGATTGTGGGATTCCTCTGCAGACGTTTTCTGCTGTAGCTTGTGTTGGACTTAGCGAGGTGCCAAGCTTATCAGAAATGATCTCCCTGCCCATCCATCTGTCCATCCATTCATCCATCCATTCATCCATCCATCCATCCATCCCATCTATCTATCCATTCATCTATTCATCCATCCATCCATCTATCCATCCATCCATCCATCCATCCATCCTTCTTTCCTTCTATCCATCCATCCATTCATCCATCCTTGCATCCATCCATCCATCCATCCTTCCATCCATCTATCCATCCATCCATCCATCCGTCCATCCATCCATCCATCCTTCCTTCTGTCTATCCATCCATCCATCCATCCATCCTTCCTTCCTTCTGTCCATCCATCCATCCATCCATCTGTTCATCCATTCATCCATCCTTCCATCCATCTTTC